GAATTGTGCCGCAAAACACATTGGAGCACAAATGACCGGTCCTGGTTTATTTCTCATCTCTTCTGGGTATATGCCCAGTAAAGAGATAGCTGGGTCACAAGGTAGCTCAATTTCCATTTGCTTCAAATATCACCAGATCGCTTTCCACAAACACTGTTTTTATCTATAGGACCACCAGCAATGGAGGGGAGTTCCTATTTCACCACATTCCCTCCAACATTGGTTGCTCTCTGATTTTCTGATTTGGGCTACCAACATTTGTTGCTCTCTGATTTTCTGATTTGGGTGTTAGATGGTATCTCATGATTGGTTCACTTTGCATTTCTTTGATGGCTAATGATCAGGAGCATTTTCTCATATGCTTATTGGCCATTCGGGTCTCTTCTGTAGTGCAACTTCTTTTCACGTCTTTTGCCCACTTCCTCAGGGGGTTAGCTGTTTTCCTCTTTTTGCAGGTTAGGAGGGTATTGTAGATTTTAGTAATAAGCTTCTTATCTGTTGTGTCAATGCTAAAAATCCTCTCCCAATCTGTGGGTTGACTTGTTACCCTCTTGGTGAAATCTTTCTATGCACACAGGTGTGTTACCCTTAGTATGTCCCACTCGTCGATTTCAGGTTCACCTGTGTGTGTTTACCCTTCCCTATTGCAGTTAGTCTATGAATTCCCTGAGCCAAGGTTTCTTAGGTTTGTCCAGATTCCTTCGTTGATGGTGCTGATAGTTTGGGGTTTTACTTCTAGGTCTGTGATCCACCTTGAGGTTGTTCTTGTGCATGGGGTGAAGTAAACATCTTGTTTCATTTTTCTACAGGTGGATATCCATTGTTTCCAGCACCACTTGTTAAAGAGGGCATCCACCTCCCACTTGATGCTTTGGGGGCCCTTGTCGAAGATCTGTTGTGTATATGCTGATGGTTTTATTTCTGGGTTTTCTGTTCTTTCCATTGGTCTGAGTATCTGTCATGACACCAGTACCACGCTCTTTTGACCACTGTTGCTGTGTAGTTGGTGTCAAAGTCAGGTAAAGCAAGCCCTCCAACTTTGTATAAGGCTGTTGGGCTTTTTGGTTAAATACATCCCTAGATATTTCAATTTATTCTTGGCTATTGTAAAGTGTACTGCCTTCTTGATTGCTTCCATGGTCTTGACCGATGTATATAGCAAACCCATAGACTTCTGTTTGTTAATCTTGTATCCTGCCACTCTTCCATATTCCTCTTTTGCTGCCGCTCAGCACTCCTGTTGTGGAACTTTTGGTGTTTCCAATGTATAGAACTATGTCATCTGCAAATAGTGATAGTTTCACCTCCTCCTCTCCCAGTTGGATACTTTTAATGTCCTTCTGCTGTCTTATGTTGTTAGCTAGGCCCGCCAGAACAATGTTGAACAGAAGTAGGGACAAGCGGCATCCTTGTCTGGTCTCCTTTTTCAGAGGAATTATTTTCGTCTTTTCCACATGGACTATGATGTTGGCGATTGCCTTTTCATAGATAACTTGTATGAACGTCAGGAATTTTCCTTCCATTCCTATCTCTTGAGTGTTTTAATTCAGAATGGGCGTTGGATGTTGTCAAATGCTTTCTCTGCATCTATCAATATTATCATGTAATTCTTAGACTTTTTCCTATCAATGTGGTCTGTAATATTGATGTATTTTTGGATGTTAAGCCGTCCCTGCATCCTTTGGATGAATCCCACCTGATCATGGTGGATGATATGTTTTATATACTTTAAAAAAAATTATGTTTTATATACTTTTGTATTCTATTGGCCAATATTCTGTTAAGGACTTTTGCATCTAGGTTCTTAGAGATATCAGTCTGTAGTTCTAGAGACCTGTGGGATCCTTGCCTTGTTTGGGTATCAAAGTTATACCTTTGTAGAATGAGTTTGTTGGTTTGCTTTGTAGAATGAGTTTGTTGGTTTGCCATCTGGAATACTTTGTGGAGGATCCGTGTCAGCTCTTCCCTGAATACTGGGTAGAATTCTCTGGTGAGGCCGTCTGGTCTGGGAGCTTCTTTTGTTGGTAGTTTCTTGATAGCCACATCTATTTCTTCCTTTGCTATGGGTCTGTTGAGGTTCGTGACCTCTATCTGGGATAATCTAGGGAGGGATAACTTTTCCAAGTACTTGTCCAGGTCTTCCAAGTTTCTGCCTTTCACTGCGAGCTAGACCTGGGAGTGTACACACGCATAGCTAAGAGCTCACGACACACGGAATCCAAGTAGAGGAATGGGAGCAGCGATACCAGAAGGGTAGGGAAAGGTGGGGAGAGGAGGGGAGGAAGGAGGAACAGATCGAGATGATTGACACATACCCACAGCACAACCAGCCCTCCAGGGGGAAGAACAACAGACACCATGGGGGAAGGGAGACAACGGTCTGTGTAAGATATGAAAATAATAATAATTTATCATTTATCAAAGGGTAATGAGGGTGGGGGTGGGGAAGGAAAAAAGAGGAGGTGATACCTAGGCTCCAATAGAAAGTAAATGTCTAGAAAAGAACGATGGCAATATATGCACAAATATGCCAGATATAATTGATGTGTGGATTTTAATAAGAGTTGTAAGAGTCCCCAATAAAATTATCTTTTAATAAAATTTTTCCCCAGCAAAATGGTGGTTTATTTGTCATTCAGTAAATATAGACGGCTGATTCTATACTGGGTGCTGGTCATCGCTCCTGGCGGGAGAAGATAATGTGTAATTGGAAGTCTTACAAAGGCAAAGTATATGCAGGGAGTGGTGGTTAATATGGTTTTCTCAAATCATGAACCATTGGTATTATTCATCTGCTGCCCTTTGAAAAAGGAACAGTTCAGCAGGCTGATGAGTGAGATCTAAGAGGTGTCCAGCTACAGTCTAGATGAATCCTTGAGATTCGTCTGTGATGCTTTGATGCAATAACGTCTGTCTAACGAAACAAACAAATGCTCTTAGAGTTGAAGAGCAAGGATGCCACTTTAAGGACTAGGCTTCTCTGACACAGGAAATGGCATTGTCAATGAACTCATATGCATGTTAAAGTGGCCGTTAATAAATAACAATGAATAAATTAAGGAGAACCAATGCATTTGAATGATCATGCTTGCACAAAATTATTGTGCCAGGGGAGGGGACCAGATACACTCGCTTGGTATGATGGACTGCTCCCTGCGAGGTGGCCAGTTCAAAAGAACCAGCTGCTCTGCAGGCTGATGATGAGTCTATCTGTACCTCAGTCACTTATGGTAATGGCTTAACCCAAACCCTTCCGTTAGTGTAAATGATCTTAGTGCTATTCCTTTAGTCCAAATAAGCTAACTCATTGTGGGATTATAATAAGACCAGACACAAAAGTGTCCTGCTCAACAACTATTACTGATATAAATTTCACCAGCAAAATGATTCATTATTCATCCTTGTCTCACAACATTAATGCTAACATTTTGAAGGAAACGTTTAACAATAAGGGCACTGACTGAGGTCCCCTGCTCCACTCACTGTCTTACTTAAAGATCATGCTCATTAAAACACACTAGATAAAAGGTTCCCTTGAACCTCAACGGAAGAGACCGTTTAATCTTGCTGACTAGCGCATGAATCTGAACCAGCCAGGCGGCTTTAGATGGCAGAGGAACCAATTAAATGGGTGTATTATTCTAACCACCGGCACCATACATTCTCCCGTATGGCCAAAAGTCGGCAGCACAAGCACGCAGAACAGCAAACCTTGTTGGAAAGTACTGTCTGCACTGTGCTGTCATCTCCGTGGAAACCGGAGCG